ATGGATGTACGTATACATAAATTCATACATACAAATATATATATATATATATATATATGTATATGTATTATATGTATATTTATACAAACGCACACACAGGCACACACACACACACACACACACACATATATATATACATATATACATATATATATACATAAATACATATGTAAATGTATATAAATATATATACATGTATACATACATATATATATATATATATATAGACATGTATATGTATCTTGTGTAATTAAGTATTTATATTTTTTTTAATAAAATTTATATAGTTCAACTTTTTCTTGTCGTTCACGAGTCAGGCATTCGCTGAATATACAATGCTGATGAATGCTTGCTTTTTGCCTTTTTGCATTCTATAGGGACGTACGTATGAACCGGTGAAGTGTCCACAATGCAAAGAAATTTACCATGTACATGTTCCAAGGGCGGGTCTCTGTTGGAGTTTGTACGAGCGTTTGGACTGGTAAGTGGATATGCTAGTTTGTGATCCCTTCCGGTTTGTGTTTGCCGCAGGCAATGAGGTTACAGAGTCCTGATAGTATCGCTTCCCACCACCCGCGTCCATTTGGCAATTCAAATCTGTGAGTTGTAGTGTATAGAATAAGTTCAGCGTGGGGTCCATCAATATCGTCATGTACCATGCTAGTCACTGATAAATTGCATGTAGCCGCTGTTGCAAGTATGTGCCTCTCGCTGACTGCCTATTTGTATTGCTGTGTACATGAAAAGGAGAAACTGGTCAGAATCAGCCCGTACCATGGGAAGTAACGGATATAATAATCATGCGTGAAGTTCACTTTTGCGCGTTGGATAAACTTATAATTCAGGCACAATTATAGCTCGATTCACAAACCATCCTACTATCGTTTGATGAAACTTGAACTGACTGGATCATTGCACACTCTCATCTCAGGTTAATCACGGAAATGTCCCCGTTCGTATCCATGGGCTTCGTGACTGCGGGGTTCTACGCCTCTTGTACATCGTATGGAGCGTTTGCGATCTGCCAAATGTATGGGCTCGTACCCGGACACAGGCTCATACAGCGCATGCCATCGTTTGTGTTCTTTACGGCCGTGCCAATGATCCCGTTTCTGCTGGTCATACCAAGGCTTTACTCCCCGGCGCTCCTGGCGTCGATACTGAGTGTGTCTACGAACACGGTCACGGGGAGGGTTATGCCTGACGGGCAGGTGGTGTACAACGATGACGATGTTTTGTGGGAGGATGTACCGGGCGACGCCGAAGACACAAGTACTAGAGCGAGCAGGACGAACAGTTTTAGTACAGATACGCACGAAGGACTGGAAGCCAGCAACGTTAGGGACACAGATGACCGCAGATCAAGGGCCGGCTCACAAGACGCGTACGAGGTTGTATTTGATCTCGATATCGGAGGGTCCACTCCAGGCGCTCGGACCCCGCGGACCAGCCTGAACAGAGGTATAGAACACGCGGACTATATGAATCCGGGGGATAGCATAGACGCGGGCGAGTACCCACAAATTAACAACGGAAGGCAGGACTATGTGCAAGACTCGATGATACAAATAGACGTGGATTTGGGCCAAGGGACGTTTAGGGATGGCACCCCGTTTACCCGCATACTGGCCGGGGGTCTGATGCTGCCGGTTGTTTCTGCGTACGTAGGGAATCTGCTGTTCTATGGCCGCCTGCAATCGACCAGGATACAGGTGAGCGTTGTTTACTACCTTGTGGTTGCGTAACAGGATGTGCGCAAGGTTTGGTACATCATGGTACTCTGCGCGGGTCGTTACATATGCAGTGAATCCGAAGTGTCGTTGCTTGTCAGAAGTGTGCTATTTGTAGTTTGAATGTGTCATCTATACTACCCCTCCCTTGGTTCGAAAGCCTCATCATATAGTAAGTATATGGCAGTTTCTGTATGGCCGATCATTCTGAGCCTAGATCGAGCGCTGTCACTACATGATATATGCGAAACATGTGCGAATGTGTTTTGCGTTGTACTCCGTGCTCCTATTTACTGTATTTCTGTGTGCGGCTCCTCTATTTACTGTCCCTATGGTATTGCCGTACACTCTCTGACTACCATGTTTGGTAACCAGGTAGGGGGCAGGGGGCATAAACTCTCCACGCTCACTGTCGCGCACCACAGTCGGTGTTAGATGACATGATCTATTCCATGCTGCCTATTAGCACAGAAGCGCGTCTGAGTGCAATAAAAAGGCCTATATACACCCGCATAGTTTTGGCAGGGATGTTGATAGTGGGTGTGTTTTGAAGTATGCTGCACACTAATTGCATACCTTGTGATCCACATTTCCAGCGGAGTTTACTTGGAGGCTTCATATATCTCACCGTGCGACAATGCGTTAAGAAGTTATACGCAATCACGTTAGAGAAGCGGCTGGAGCGAAGGCTGGTTTTGGATATGCCCCGCCCAAGTGACTATCTTAATGAATCTACCTGAGATACGAGCTTCTCGGGATAGGACAGAGATTGACGCGTGTGTACGCGGATACGGGACTATAAATAGCTCAGCAGAATCTAACGGGCTTCCGCATTGCTGCAAGAATTATAGCGTCCGTATCGAACGCGGCCCAAAAAAAAACGGCGCGGGTAATATTAGAACGCTACAGATGACATTTGGATGGATTCATTGACGGAACTACTTCGTTTGGCACATCTTTCTGCGGCAATTTTCATGTGCGTTTTGGAATTGAAACGGGATCAAACCAGCACATCGAAAAGGTACAGAACTCTGAGTATTAGCGGCCTTCTCATGGCCACCGATGAGGTACATAAGGATCAATACAATATGCTGTAATATATTTCCAACTACACTAACGGCGGGGACCCTTTCGTAAGCTTTGATTTTCTCAATTTGTCAATAAATCCTTTGGAGACCACACTTTATTCAGTTTGAGGGCCCTATACACTTGGTTACTACACAGTAGCCAGATAGACATGTTTCATGCGAATGCGTTTTTCACCTTCATGCGTAGTGTATAAGCCCACAGCCACCCAATCGCACACGTCGCAAAACAGGTGCCGGCCATTTGCATACCATTTCAACAACTCGCTAGTATCAGGTCGATGACTATGATTGTAAGAAATACAAGCACATGACCTGCCACTCTCCCGACTATACATTTACATTTACATATATATTTATAAATTATAACATATAATATATATACATATATGTATACATACATATATA